TCCGGGATCGAACGGACGTACGGATAGAACGATCGAGCGGATCGAACGGACGAGCAGATAGGACGTGAGGATTGAATAAAAGGACAGCGATGGCAACTACCAGAAAAAGAACGAGAAACGCTTCTCCGGAGACAGAGAAAGAGGCGACGTTGCTGTCAGTGATGCGCGAGATCCGTCAGCTGCGGGAGGAGCAAGCGCGCAGGGAGACGGAACGTGACGTCGAGCTTGAGCGATTGAGAGCACAGATAAGTCTTTTCAATAATATTTCTTCTTGTGCGGAGAACAAAAGAACGTGCGTAACGTGTTTCGATTGTACAACGAAACGGAAATAGTTCGGGGGATGCGCGCGAAAGATCTTGTAGAGGGTTGGGTTTAAAATTAAAACCGGATACTTACGACGGAAGTGTTCCGCTACGAGAATTTCTTTCTCAATTCAATCTTATTGCCCGAGCGAATGGTTGGGGGGAAGACGCGAAAACGCTGGCTTTGGTCTCTTGTTTGAGAGGAAAAGCGCGTTCGATTTTGGATTGTGTGCAGAACATAGAGGATTTAGATTACGCGGAATTAAAATCAAAGCTAGAAATGCGTTTTGGAGAAAATCATTTGTCTCAATCTTATTATTCTCAATTCACAAATAGGAAACAGAAATTCGGGGAAGATATTGCTGCTTTTGGTTCGGATTTAGAACGGTTATCGCAATTAGCGTATTCTGAGTGCCCTCACTCAGTCCGCGACAAAATTGCATGTGCTCAATTTGTTTCTGCTCTATCCGATGGGTTTATTAAAAGGACTCTTCAATTGGAAGGGGTTATTTCCTTAAAGACAGCAATTGAAAGGGCCAAAGCTATTAAAGTTATACGGGAGAGTTGTTACGAGGGAAAAAGGGAAGGTGGCTTTGGGGGAAATTTTGGAAGAAAAAAAATGGAGTAGAATATTTTTCGAACAAAAATAAGGGAGAAAATGGTAAAAGTAAAAATTTTGGAAATGTTAATTCTGTGAACCAAAAAGAATGTTGGCTTTGCGGTAAAGCGGGACATTTCCGTGCACAGTGTCCAGAGGTTTCTAAAAAGGAAAACTAAATTTT